ATTGATGTACTTGCTACAGGATTATAGGTATCCTCAGAAATCTGATTCTCAGATGAGTAGACAGTTCCTGGTCCAGGGTGGCATAACAAAGAAATACTCGCTGAATCTCATCCATTGGTCTTTCTCGACCCCAAACTACTTCTTGATTCGTGATAATTTTGGGAAGATACCTACTAGATTGGAGGTGCTTTATACTGCTCTACGGACCACCATCCTCACCGATAGGTGCTTGCCATACATAAATAAAAACAAACACAGAAAATTCATAATAATATATCATGTGGTCACATCATCAAACTTTTCTCTTTTCTATCTATTATGGTATCTTCAGGTAGTGGTAATTTTCCATAAGAGTGACAAGATTAGTCCACAAATTAACAGGAGATTATAAGAAACTGTGCTCATAAGAGATAAAGAGACATCTAAAACAAATATACAATCACAATAAACAATCTTATTTAACATAAATACAGTGAAAATATACCTTACTTGCCACTTGAACAAATTTTACGTTGCTCACTTAACTCATGTGACTAGTCATTCCCAGTGAAACATTAAGGAGGGCACAACTTCAAGAGACAACCATTTAACTTTACATATTACAGGCGACCTTGCAGCTATCTTTACCACAGAAAAACAAAAAGGGGAGAAAAATAACTTAGAACAATAGGTAACTAAATAAAAAGTAACTTAACGACCTTTTTGACTAAAATGTTTCGTATAAACTGCACATATCAAGATAAATGCTAAATTTAGAGAAATCACATATAAATAGAAGGAGGTAGAGAACATATGGTATGCTTATACACCACAAAGGCATGCTTATTGTACCATAAACATTCATAAAGCTATATCAAGTTGGCGCACCAATGGAAAGAGTAGCAATTGACATTGCTGGTCCTTTGCCCAAAACTCGTGCTGGAAACAAGTACATTTGTGTGGTGATGGGCTATTTCACCAAGTAGCCTGAGGCATATGCAATACCAAATCAGGAAGCTACAACTGTAGCTTCGGCTATTAGTGATTTCTTTTTCAGATTTGGTATGCCATACGAACTGCATTCAGATCAAGGCCGTAACTTCGAATCAGCTGTGTTCCAAGAATGCTGCAAGTTGTTTGGCATCCGAAGACCAAGATAATGCCACTTCACCCACAGTCGATGGGATGGTAGAAAAGTACAACTGCACACTGGGACAGGAATTGGCAAAGTTTTGTAATAGCCGCCAAGATGACTGGGATGTCTTACTCCCTCCGCTGTTGATGGCCTATAGGACAGCAGAGCATGAAGCCACTGGATACACTCCAGCAAAGTTGATGTTTGGTCGAGAGCTTCGGTTGCCAGTGGATCTGTTAACAGGATGCCCACCTTATAAAGAGTTGCCTGAAAATGTGTCAGAGTTTGTGAAAGTGTGATCTGAAAGGAAGGATGATATTCATCATCAAGTGCGTTCAAACTTGAAAACGTCTGCTGATTACATGAGGCTATGTTATGATAAGAGATCTACTGAAGTCAGCTTTGTACCAGGAGACAAGGTGTGGTTGTATAATACCAGGAAGACCAAAGGGAAGTCTCCTAAGTTGTCTTCTCCATGGGAAGGCCCATATGACATAGTGGATCGTCTCTCAGACGTGGCTTTCCGAATAAAATGTGGTCGGCGAGGTAAGCCAAAGGTGGTGCATGCCAACAGGCTTTGGCATTATCATGGTTCAGGACATTTCAGTTGGAACAAAGTGAACAACGGAACAAATGACGCTGCTGAAGACGTGTCACCTGAAAAAGCCACTGTCGAAGAAGAAACTCGACTCGGTTTTGAGAAGGGTAACGGTGAAGCCCTTGATGAAGTTACTACCACTGATGTGACTGTTAT